AACGTATAAAGTTGATGAACAAAATAGTAAAAACACACTTTGACCCCAGGCCGGTTCCCACATTCTAAGAAAACATAACGAATGCCAGGAAATTTTGTACTTCAAAGGAAATATTTCAAAGAGTAAATAAAGTAGGACATTCACAAAATTGTCATGTGATTGAAAGTGTGATTCTCAACACGACGAGCAGTCAGCTAAGAGCAAATTTCCAATCTATCACATTATAAAGAATTTTTCTCTGGTTGATTGAAATCTAAATCAAAATACATTATCATATATTATAACTTTTAAAAGCTCATTTTTAAAAGTTGTTAATTCAAACATGCTGTTTCTTTTCTAAAGTAATTTCTATGCTTTTTATTTGCTAACCTTTTGCAAATAATTTCAAGTTTCAGTGCTGCGTGTCTTTGTTTAGGTGTAGTCTGATAACTTATTAATAGAGCACAAGAAAACCAAACTTAGAATAAATTTAACATACAACCTTTATTCTTAAAAAGATCCAATAGAGCTCTAAATCGGTTTCTTTTTTCTGGACTCATTTTTGTACAGTTTAGACACATACAGAAACCTATGGCTTTACTACAAGAAGTCTATAGAAATTCTGTGAAAGATCTTTCACCAATGGATATAATTACATATATAGAAATATTAGCTAAATCATCCCCATTACTGGGTGACATGAATAGCACGAATTCAGCCAAGGACACCCTTTCTAATTCAACTCTTACTGTAAGTATGCTGAGCTTTAACTCAATATAACTGAGCTTTAAATTTTTCCTTACATCTGTGATTCATGGATTCCAACATTTTTAAAAGACATACTTTTTTTTTTAACAGGAATTTATAAAAACTGTGAATAATTTTGTTCAAAAGGACACATTTATAGTTTGGGACAAGTTATCTATGAATCTCAGAAGAACTCATCTCACAAAATTGATGCATGCTGCTGAACAGGCTACCTTGAGGATATCTCAGAACTTCCAAAAGACCACTCAGTTCAATACTAATTCAAGTGATATAGGTGAGAAGCCAAGGTCAATTTCAAAACAATGGTGTTTGCTGAACAGGCCATCTTCCAAAGGGAAAGAAAGTATTTAAAATACTGTTAATTAAATTGGCACCTGTTTCATCAATGCAGAAATGAATGGCAATGCACATTATAAGAGTAATGTGAATGAAGTATGAGTAAAAATGAGTACGAGTAAAATGAAGCAGTATGAGTAAAAATGTATTCATACATAAGCAAGGTCTTCTCCCTACCATCTTCACCTTGTCTGATTGCTAAGCTGTCTAGCATTCAAATGCTTAGGGTACATTACTCCCTTGTCATTTTAAGTTAGTCATCTCATGACTTGTTTGGATCTACCTTGGCCAAAGATAGTTTTAGACAGATTTTCTGATATGAAGCAATCGACTTAGCAAACTAGAATGTTTCCTGCTTCATACAATCTCATATTTAGAACATTCAGAATCTTGAATCAAACTGAAGATGCCTATAAATTTGCTCTGGGGAAACAAAGAACATTTTCTGATAATCATTGCATACATCTATATGATATTGTGTGGGTAACATCTGACTATGCAGCGGTAAGTATGCAAGAATTCACCACTTGCTCAAAATTAAAATAGCAAGCATTATGACTAATATATAGGATCCCTGCATTTCTGAGATGCTCTTGAATAAAAAAGGTGAGCTACCCCAAATAAGGAAATTATCATCCAAGAATTTAATTCAATCATTCCCCATATGGTCAATTTTATTATAGATACCATCCTCTAAGACATGGTGGTTGCTTGTCTTTGATTTAGTAATTATAATTTATAGCTCCCTTGGGTACATATGTATTTTGTCTTTTACTTAATCCAACAAAGATTAAATTAAAACATGAGTGATATAGTGAAATAAAAAAAGTTAAAACCTGAATCAGATTTTTAAGATCCAACATCTAAGCATGTTCAGAATATGCTCATTCTACTTGCCAAAAAAGTTGAAATACAATAATGATGGATAAAACATAACAATGATGGATAAAATTGTCCCTCATTAAACAAATAACCTGATTAAAGTAACTTCAGAAAATTTATGATTTTAATGGTTTTATTTCAGCTCTCAAAACTTTCTTTTTTGATTCATATCACCTCAAACATACTCATCCCTATATGAATGTGGATGGAAATTATGTAAAGGTATTTCCAAAGAGGAAAGCTGCATATGATTCCAATGGTAAGACTCCAATAGTTTTATATTCAATATGTCGGTAATTTGCAATAAATACTTATCGTGCCTTTGATTGTATCTGATGTACATATAACGTGTGGTTTCCTAGAGAACACATTTGATGTTTATACACAGGATTTCTGTCTTTGTGCTTGAGATTTTCAGTCTGATGTCAATACATGGTGAGAATTTTAGCTGATGATACCTATAGCCTTCTTGTCTTGTACCCAATTTCTGAAGCTGTCTGATATTGTTGAGATTCTACTGGAATATATAAAGGAGTTGTGATTTTATTCCATCTTTTATAGAAATTATAGGTGCTATAATTTGCATAGGATTCTTTTACTATTTCTTCTTCAGTAACCCTTCATATTACTCATTGGGAGGCTGAATTTATAATTGTGTGAGGAAGACAATGTCCCTGAAGACAGAAAGTTAGTGTTTTTGGCCTCAATTTCTTTTCCACTTGCCATTTCTTATCTTTTTACTGTAAACTTATCATCTAAAGGGAGGATTTCTTGGGAAATGGAATGCTAATACTAGCAGGCAACTTGATGATTACCTACCCTAATTTCCTCACTTTATGGATAATGGAACGAAGGCACAATGAAGTTAATGGATTTTTCTCCATGCACATCAACAAATAATACAGAGCCAGTACTAGAAGGGAGGAAGTTAACAAAGAAATCAACCTTGACCAGCTTTTCTTTGTCACCTAATCAAGGACAAGGAAGCAGCTATTTTAGCCATTTATGTGGTCTTTTAATGCAATGCACTTAGGAAAAAAAAATCTCTGCCAACAGAATTGTTATCATTTTCAAATAGGTCAAAATATACTACCTAAGTGAAACATGAATTATAATAGATTCTCAAAGAATATGTAGGTTGTCATAAATGTAAGTGAAAAGTATATATAATAACACAGTATGATCTCTAGTATAGAAATCATTTCATAAATGGCTATATTGTCTTTATTTTTTTTAATATTCTGCACATCATTCTCAGAAGAACATTCTTTAAAAAAATTTTTGCACAACATTAATGTGGGATTTTTTCCCTAACCAATTGATATTATCCCCTTCATTCTTTCTTGTCATTTTTATACAATAGTAAGAAACAGATGGCCACAAAACAAAGAAAAAATAACTAAACCATACTACCATTGAATCCAAGGCTCTTACTCTATTACATCATATTCTGATTAACCATGCATACGTATAACTATTTAGGAGCAAATCCAAAGACTGTGTTAAATTGTTGAAATTTCTAAGACAATTTGAGTAGTGTTCAGAAGTTGAGAATAAAACCACTGAAAATACTCATTATACTGACAGAATTAATTTCTCAAAGAGATCCCGTCTGAATGTATGATAGCCTTGTTATATTTGAAGATCATGCGTGCAAACTCTGACACTTGAAAGTGACCGTAATGTCAGCTGTTAAGAAAACATAGAAAATTTGACTTCCTTAAGGTTGTGTCTTTTTTATTCTTTTAAAGATTCTATTTATTTATTTATTTGTCAGACAGAGATCACAAATAGGGAGAAAGGCAGGCAGAGAGAGAGAGAGAGGAGGAAGCAGGGTCTCCGCTAAGTAGAGAGCCCGATGCGGGGCTCGATGCGAGGCTCAATGCGGGGCTCGATAAGGGGCTTGATGAGGGGCTCCATGAGGGGCTCGATCCCAGGACCCTGAGATCATGACCTAAACTGAAGGAGGAGGCTGTAACCCACTGAGCCACTCAGGCTCCCCCTTAAGGTTGTATCTTACAAATAAAGGCAAGTCTAACAAACTGATAAAATCTGCTTTATGGTGTCTACATGTGATTATTCATTTAAAAAAAAAAAATCATTAATAAAACACAGGCTTCAAGTTAAAAATGTGTATAGTGTCATTATTAGGAAAATAAGGGAGGTCCATGGAAGAACAGGTGGATTTTTAATCTTTTTTAATAGATTGAATTTTATTTCTGGTCATTAGCAAATAAATCCCTCATTTACTGAATGAAGATACATATCTGATAAGAGAGTTAAAAGCTAAATCAGGCCAAGAATTAGTGAGAAGTCATGGGAATTAGAAGAGGTTCAAATGACGAGAATGGACAAATACTGAAACAAGACTCAGAACCGAACTAAGAAGGGATTTTGTAGTATTCTATGCAACAAGAATCACATTTTACCCAAAGTCAAAAATTTGATGTTAAATATTTTCCTTGAGAAAAGATAGGAGTGATTAGTAGACTTAAGAGATCTATTTTATCTTTTGGGGGTTTTGTTTGATTTTGGACCATCTCCTACTGCATCTCCTTCTGAGAAGGCGCCGTGATATGAACTGGTTCATACACTGGACTGAGTCAAGTTGACCTGAAAGGTTTTCAGATCCTGCTTCAGGCCCTGGCCTGTCCATGGCAAAGACTGGGCTCGTTCTCATCACAGGGAGTCTTCATAATGTCACTAGCCAAACCATGTTATAATAACTTCATTTCTTTCTTTGATAAAACTTTTCTTAAACTGGCGGTTGAGGAAAATGCTCTTATCTAATATACATAGATTTCAGCAATCTCTTAGCGATGTTTTTCGTGATACCTTTTTTAAAGACAATGGAAAATATGAATCATGATGCATTTAGGCAATTTCTAGTTCATATAACCACAGCAGTATCAAAAAATATTATTTATTAGTGTGATGTGTGTCATGTGGAAGGACTCAGATTTGCATCACAGTTCTTTGTTTTGGGTTGGTTTTGTTTTGTTTGTTTGCTTTTTCTCGTTTTCATTAACCTTGTTTCAAACGTTATTCCCAGGCTTCTTCAGCTTAATTAGCTTCAAAGAACAAATTGTGTCTAAGCAAACACTGAAAAGAGTTGCTGTGTCCAAGGGGCCTGGGCTCAGAAATATTAGAAATCTGGATTTTCTCAGAGACATGAACAGAATTTTAAAAACCAGTCCTGCTACTGGGAGTAGCAGCTCCCAGTAACTTCTTTGAGTTTTATCATCTTCAGAAGTTGACTCAGTTAAATTTGCTTCATTCTTGGAAGCTTCCTCAAAATTCTCCACAAGATCTGGAACTTTACCTTCCTCCTCCTCTCCAGTAGCAAGTGGTTCTCCTCCATCCACAGATTGTGTGGGCAGAGTTTTAACGGATCTTCTTAAGCTGCTCAGACTGTCTGCACCAAGATGTTTTAACATACCGGGTAGCATTTCTGTCAGCAGCTTTGTCTCAGCCTGGCCTGTGATGGTGAAAGTGTTCGCTGCCAAGAATGCCTGCACTTGAGGCTTGTTAAAGTGGATCACTGTTCCTTAGTGTGTGAACATACGTCTTCAGTATCACAGATATTGCTTACCCCTAACTTCTTTAAGAACTGAGGGTTTTTTTTATCATCTCCTGGCGCTATTCTATGGACCACCCTCCTCTTTGGGCGAGCAATGTGCACTTGAGCAGTTTGACAAGTTTCTCTTGGTTCGTGGTGGTTTCTTTCACCTTGCTGTAGCGGAAATGAGACCAGGCCCAGAACTAGAGTTGACGCTCCCGGGTTCTGGGCAGACCTGTTGAGATTAGGTGCACACTCGCAGTGATGCAAGATGGCCGCTAGAGGGCACAGTTCTTTGTCTCTTATGATACAACCACATTTGTATTTATGGTTTTGATGAATTTATGCCTTTCACATTATTCTGGTCTCCCAAATTTGAGGGACCAAATATAAAAGAGTTCTTTATAAGTTGTCAGTAATCTAAAGTAAATTTATAATATTTCTAGTTTAAAACTTAACAATAGTCCTATTAATATAGCACCTTAAATTTTATAAAAGACTCATATATTATTTAATTTGGTTTCCACCTTAGCCCATTAAGTAGCTAGAGTGAATATTACTATTATCATTTTACAAGTGAAGAAGCTGAAGATCCGAGCAGTTTATCCATAGCCACACAAGTAGGAACAATGATTGAAACCGGAATTTTTGATTCCAAGAGTAAATTCTGAATGTGAAGTTGTACATTCTGTGTCCGTAATTCTGTACAACAGATAGAGAAGGTGTATGACCTAAATGGTGACAGGAATTTTAAAAAGACAATAGATCTAGATTTTGAGTTGTTCACATACTTAATATCAGTAATAATGAGCTGCTTCAAAAACCAAGACAATTTGAGATCCATTGATATAGGGGTAATGTCTAGGCTAAGGGAAAAATAGTCACATGATCATCTGTACTGATCAGATTGCATTTCTAGTCCTGGGTTATATGCTGATTTACTGCATTTGAGGAGGGTCAGGGGGCACAGATAAATAGCTGTCTGCCAAGGCAGTAAATTTCTTACCTTGAGACTGCGTAACTATGTAACTATATGTCATCAGTGTTAAATAGGAAACATTTCAGTCGGCATGAAGTGGAACTCAGTGGCATCTAAAACTTGTTTAAAAAAAATAAATAAATAAAAATAAAAACAAATAAAAAATAAAATAAAATAAAACTTGTTTAATTCTCAACTTCCTTAATACCCCAAGTCAGTGATAATTTTCTTCCAATATATTGCTAATTCCCATCTTTGCCTAGCAAAGTAGTAACTCCAAATTTTAATCTTTTAAGTGAATACATTTCACACCTTGGTTCTTAGTCATGAGTTGGATATACATTTATCTAGAACTGTTTTTCTCCTAGATATAGGTTGTTCAAATGGGATGCTACTGTCCATGATTAGTTTCAGAGTCATGGAGGTCAGGGACTATGTCTTAGTATGATTTGATTATATAGACATGCACTTATTATGATCCACATTTTAGTTTCTAGGTAGACATATGATTTCCTTAAAGTAAAAAACTTTGTTCAATTTTTATGTTTATTTTGAGAGCCTAAATATATTTTTGTTTTATAAGAATTTCACTAAATACACTTATTTGATTGATAGGCAATGTTGCAGTTGCATTTTTATATTATAAGAGTATCGGTCCCTTGTTTTCATCATCTGACAACTTCATATTGGAACCTCAAAGTTCTGATAATTCTGAAGAGGAGGAAAGAGTCATTTCTTCAGTGATTTCAGTCTCAATTAGCTCAAACCCACCCATGCTGTATGAACTTGAAAAAATAACATTTACATTAAGTCATATGAAGGTAAGCTGTTTTTCTAGTAACTAGTGGTTATGAGTGTGAACCATGAACTTTTTTTCATTGTGTCACTTTAATTGTATGTGAATTCTTGAGTTTAAAAATTAAAAGAGTAAAGTAGTTTCAACTAATTTTCCTATAAAATATTTTTGCACTTTTCATGCTCTGTTATCTTTCTAGTAAATATCAAGGAACTCTGCACATTTGATTTTCTTAAATTAATCTATATTTCAATTTTATTTTTCATTACATTGTTCACTTTGGAAGTCTCCATACCTTTTAGTAATGAGTTATAAAAATGTATCAGAGCCAAAGAGATAAATGTCATTTGTGTAATGACAGAGTTGTTTGATTACTAATTGCCATTTAAAATAATATTTGCAGGGACTTAAATGCTGATTAAAATATAATCACAGAGAAGTTTACAGTATTTCATAAAGAAATTAGCGGAGACCTTTTTATTCCTTTACTGTTATTCAAAATCTTTTTCAAGCTCATATGTAATTAAAACTCCATCATAATAAACATTAGAAAGTACTAAGTATTTGGTTTTTTTATATACCTAAAAATGAATGTGAAACTTAAGATCGTAGATCATTTACTGCTCTTTTACGGTTGATGGTTTCTTGGATTTTCAACAGAATTTCAGTCCTAGTACACGATGAAAGAGTACTTTGGATGCTCCATTTGGAGAGCCTTGAAGCTGGACAATTGTATTTGCACATTTATGGGGGAAGAAGAGGACTAAAAGAACAGATATGCTGACACACAATACAAATGTGTCACTGTAAAGACATCTAATGTAGAGAGAAGCTAAAGGCATAGAAGATCCAAGAAAATAGTAGCTCAAACCTAAACATTAGTAGGCATTATGTTCAGAAGAGGGTGTGAAATGTTTTAAGAATGGAAAGGAAACTTAGATATTTTTAGTTGCCAACTGACCTTCTGACACTAGAATCAAAACATTGTTCTTTCACATGCTCTGATGGGTTTTCTGCATTTTTTGCTAGTGGCAGCTAAAGAGATGCCAAGTCACGACACCAAGTCACTGATTCCAAGTCAGTGATAATTTTCTTCCAATATATTTCTAATTCTTATCTTTGCCTAGCAAAGTAGTAACTCCAAATTTACATCTTTTAAGTGAATACATTTCACGCCTTGGTTCTTAGTCATGAGTTGGATATACATATACCTAGGACTGTTTTTCTCCTAAATATAGGTTGCACTTGGAAAAAATATAACAACCTACTTCACCAGTCTCTGATACAATCACGAAACAAGATACAACACACATTTAGATAAAAATTCTTCACCAAAATTCATGTGAAAACTTGATTATCCTTAATCTTCCTCTCTGTTCAAATCTTTTTCCCATTCAAATTAACAACCACTATGAAATTTTATCGTTTTCTTTTGACAACAGACCTACCTAATTCATGGTTTCCCATGAATAATTTATTCTGAGAATAAATTCTGGATCCCATTGTTTTCCTAAAAAAAAAATAGAAGCTAACACCTTCAGTTTCCTGAATTTATTTGCAATTTCACCAATTAGTATATAGTTCTTCATTACCTCAAAGGAATATTAAAAGTAGTTTTCATAATATTATGCTATGGTCACTTAATATAAATATGTGGTAAAGAGAAGTCTATCTATAAAACAACCGTCCTGCAGTCTATGCAAGCAGACCCTATCTCTGATCTTGTCTTCAACTGCTCATTATCTCATTCCCAAACTATACTGGTTTCCAGGGTTTCTGGAAGATTCCTATCCAGTCTCAGAGCTTTTCTATTTCCCATTCCATACAGAACCTTCTGTTCCCAAGTCTTAGGGTTTACTCTCTCTCTCTCTAACTTCGTTGAGATATTTCCTTTAATATCATCTCCTACGAAAGGCCTCCTCTGACCAGTCTCAACTACTTTCTCCTTCCCCTGGTTTATTTTTCTTTTTTAATAATTTCTCATCTCATGAGAATCTAAAATCAGCGGCACACATGCTTTTTCTGTTTTGTTTTAGTACTTGGGTCAATGACTAATATCCAGTGTATTCTCTGTAAACATTTATCAAATAAAGATCGTATGGTAATTAGGTGTCTTGCACTATGCTAAATGATCTCATTTGATAATACATAATTCTCACAACTTTGTGGAACAGGAATTGATAAAGTATAGCATTGTTGCAATAACTTCAGTTCTTCCACAGAACACCAGCACTCATTTATTAGCATTGATTTTGTGTTGTACGTTTTAGGCATGGTTGTAATTATATTGATATGCAAAATGGTATTTCAAATATGAGAAATGTGATACTATATGTATAACTCTTTCTCTTTTTTCCATCAGTAAAATGTCTCTTTTTCAGACCACAGATAAGTATAGGAGTCAATGTGCATTTTGGAACTACTCGCCTGATACCATGAATGGCAACTGGTCTTTGGAGGGCTGCGAGCTCATGTCCTCAAATGAGACCCACACCTCGTGCCGCTGTAATCACCTGACACATTTTGCAATTCTGATGTCTTCTGGTTCTTCCATCGTAAGACAATTTTCCATCATTTCATATTTATAAACCTGCTTGTTTTCTTTTTATGTGTGTTTATATCAGTCAAGAGAATTAATTTTTTATGTTTCTTTGGGTGCAAATATATTTAGCTGATAAAACCTCCAAACTATCTTTTTTTAGTCTTTGTTTTCTTACCTGTCTTATTTGACATATTTAGACTGGATTTTAGGTAATTTTTTGCCTGGGACTTATCTAGTCTATGATAGCTGGTGGGTTGTGCATTAAATACCTATCCACTGACTCTTAACTTTTAATGTTGCTTTTAAAAACCACTTATACATTTTAATGTATCATGGTCTCTAAAGGCCATTGCCTTTGTATTGAAAGTTTATTTTTACCAATTACAAATTAGTTAAAAAATATTTGAAACCTGGTCAATAAGTATTAGCATATTTATAACTATTACAATGTTTTAATAATGTAGAACTGTACAAGGTTTTTAAACACAGATCTCTTCTACAGCGAATAGGTCCATGCTATGGATTTCACATCAGTAATATCTTTCTTTTACACTACAGCGTTTCTTATTTGATATCACTGTATCATAATCTTCGTTAAATTACAAGTTCATTTCCATGTCTACTGAGAATCTATCAAATATATAAAGTGACCAAATAAATCTGCCTAACCATAATGTCAGTGATAAAGATTTTTTTCCTGAATGTTAAGTAAGCAAAGAAGCCTCTGCTCTCTATATAAGATATAAATATTCATCTGGTTAGAATAAAACCAACTTTTCCCATTTCAAAGTCTCTCAACTTGACTATTTTGATATTCTATATATTCAGCATTTCTGATACCTTTGTTTAATGTGTTTTTAGATGAATTGCTGCCTAGAAATAAGCTTGTTATTACCACTGATAAATCTGTTTTAATTAACCATTTTCACATTACAATAATGAATTGCCTTTCTAATATCAGGAAACTGATGACGATAACATTGTTAAACCATATACTAATATATACTATGCCCAGGAAAAAAAGCACTAATTACAGAACTTTTAAAGTGCTACATGATTTATATCAGATTTCTCTGAATATTGAGCATTTTCAAAGGCACAGAATTTTTCTCATCTAAATGCACATTTGTATTTTTACATTTTATGAACATTTTGATTAATGTTTCACCAAAAAAAGAAGTTCATTATATGTTGTAGTTCCTTTGACAAGTTACTGAGTTATTCTCTTAACAGCTTTATTATTATTTTCCCTTAGGGTATTAAAGATTATAATATTCTTACAAGGATCACTCAACTAGGAATAATTATTTCACTGATTTGCCTTTCCATATGCATTTTTACCTTCTGGTTCTTCAGTGAAATTCAAAGCACCAGAACAACAATTCACAAAAATCTCTGCTGTAACCTGTTCCTTGCTGAACTAGTTTTTCTTGTTGGGATCAATACAAATACTAATAAGGTATGTAGATCTCTCTTACTCTCTATTTTGTTTTCTAAATTTGTACTTTCCTAAATATATATGTCATAGAATCATGAATTATAATTAAGAGCTTAATGGGCAAACGTACCATCTACTTTGTTCCTAAGTCTTTTCCAAGTTTGCTAACGCTGCCATATCTAAAACCTGTCTGTCACAATTCCATGAAGCACGATGTCCCTTGTTACGATGAATCATTGGGACAAATGAAAATTTAGCAACAAACTGAAGAAATAGCCTTTTTTT